AGTGAGGTTGGTTTGCTTTACTGACATTTGGAGAAGCTGATGTGATACCGCGTCCTGCACCACACCCTGGTCTGCATGTCAGATTTGTCTGCTCATTCGTCCCAGGAACGAGCCGTGGGGCTTGACGCACATGAAGTGTAATAAGTACTGCAGGTCATTGCTGCTTACGTCTGACGTTCTTCGCAACGTAATTATGCCTCATTTGGGACTTTGGTCTTCCTCTTCGCTCAGTGAAGCGCTTTTGGGAAGATTTCTGCCTCGCCGAGAGCCTCGCAACTTTGCTACACAATACCTATGGGGGGTTGTTGATAAAGTACGCCGACATCGGGAATACATCACTCCCAGTCAATAATACTCTACCGGTATGGTAAGTGCAGCTCGGCGACGGATTCGTAAATCATGAAACACAATAGTCATTGATATGCATGACATTCAGGAAAAGTTAACTGCCTTGGAGGACATCGACGACTTCTGGCCGCGGTTAACTGCCTCAGAAAACGCCGATGACTACTGGCCCCGGCGACTATTACACATACCAACACTGACATCAATCCCGAGAGACGAGCGCAACGTCTATGGAACAACGGAGAAGCCAAAGTACAGCATCCTCACTTACACTTGGGGCCGCTGGAAAATCAGGCATGATGACCATGCCGTCCCTGCATTGCCGGTGAAGGGCGTCTCGTGGAAGATACCCTCAATAAAAGAATCTCACTTCACGGTGAACTCGTTCCGGGCCGTTGTTGATTCCATGGCGTTTGAGGACGTTGAATGGGCATGGATTGATATCGCTTGCATAGATCAAGAAGACGAGATCATGAACGCGGAAGAAGTTGGTCACCAGGTCGCTATTTTCGACAAAGCAGTCAAGGTGCATGTTTGGCTGTGCGAGGCAACACAGGAGAGTCTCACGAAGGCTTTTCACGACATGAACGACGGCCAATTGGAATCCATCACTTTCAGCACCTTCAGCACATTAAAAAACCAGCTCATGCCCTCGTACATGACCTGGGAAGACGTTCGCCACCAGGAGTACAGGATGACGGCCGTACGCGAGACTATCGACCGTATTAGTTCTGGACTGCAAACCGTACTCAACGATCCCTGGTTTTCATCTCTGTGGACCTTGCAGGAGGCCGTGTTGCGCAATGATGCTGTGATTTTGAGCGCAGAAGGGCTTCCGTGTGTTTGGATCACGTCCGATGACGGCAGAAAGTACCAAGCATATCTCGCAATGTTCGTCAATTTTTGCAACAACATCTACTTGGATGTCGTCAATATACTACGAGGCCTTGAATACCACGAACAGATGGGCTACGACTTAAGCGACTGGGAAGTAGACATGAAGACCAAGATCGAAAAGACGCAATCACTCCTTACCCGTTCCGGCATGTATAAGTTGCCTACATCGAACCCCAACATCCCTTACAGCATGGCATGGTCTAGGCAGACCTCGAGACCGGTAGACCGCATCTATGGTATTATGCAAGCCTACAACCTGCGTGTGGGCAAGGTCATTCGGCCGCATGATAACCCTTCCCTGGCAGATCTCGTCCAAGAATTTGCCTTGGCAATAGTCAACAAGAATCCCGTTCTCAGCCAGCTGTTTGTTCACACAGAAAAGCCTGCCGAGTCACTAAGCTGGCGCATCACGGAGAACTCGGTTGTTCCGGCCAACTTTAGATCGCCAAGAGGTTACGTGGTGAAAGCTCGATTTTATCTCCAAGGACAAGATGTCATGAGGGCACGCGGTCGAGTCTGCCGCTTGACTGATGCCCTTGAAGTGCAAGATAAACTTGTTCAATTCCTCAAGGAGACAGACACGTCTGAATACGCTGAATTCAAAGACGTGGACCACGACTACGACCGTATCAGAATCATGACAGATGCCGGATTCACACAAGAGCATCTGAACCTCAACGGCTACTTGTCGCGGTTCGATTTACCGGGGTTCGGTTGGCTGTTTCCTCAGAAAGCTAATTTGCCATTGGTTCTCCGCGACTTATGGGTATTCCATGTTGGAGATATTGATTCAACTCGAGGAGAACTTCTGAATATCCCTGAGAGCATAGCTGTGCTGCTTCGTCCCGCAAATCAGCCAGCCAATTCAGGCAGTGATAGTAGCGAATGGGCGAACGTTCCTTACATGCGGGTTGGACTTTGCACCTGGGGACCGGAGGAGGAAGAAGGAAAACGCATGATGAACGAAGACATTGACTGGAAGTCTGTGGATTTTGAGTTCCACTAGAGCTCTGTTTCTAGTTGTTTTCGTTTTACCGCATCGATGGATAATTCAATGGAGGTCTTCTATCCTGCCAGTTGCTGGAGGGGTCCGTACATATTTGCTTATGAACATACTTTCCCGAAGGGCAGCGACGATATATCTGTCAGACGATTCCGCTTGTATCCGCCTATGAATGATTTCGAAATAAAGTAGCAGTTGAGCGAGGACTGAAGCTGAGTATAGGGACTCCGGCGAAGCCCATAGTGGATGTTACCTACAATGAAGAGGAGCCGTCGATTTGTAATTCTACAATTCCACGTCGTATGTAGTTCATGCATCTCGACCCGACATCATAGACGAGTCTCGTCGCCTCTGGAATTATTGAAACTAGTTCTAAATATCTCTCAATCATTCTCATTGTCGCTGGGTTTTCTTTGCAATCATTGGTAATGAGTCTTGATAACATCAACAATCACACCGTGATCCTCATCCTGTTTCAGACCACTGACAACCACAACAGCCACAACGCCCTCAACTCCTTGCACACGGATGGGCACGCCGCCACCGTGAATGGCGTACTTTCCAGCCTGTTCCGTGCTCATACCAAACTTTGAGGCAAAGAGCTGCTCATCGCCGCCCAGCTTGTTGTGAAGAAGCCAGGTGCTGCAGCCCCATCGGAGCACGGCGTTGCGCTTGCGCTGCACCCACGTCTCATTGTCGGGAAGAGAGCCGGATCCGACGGCCGTCTGGAAGAGCACCTGTTGGCTGTTTGCCAGTGCAATCGAGATGACTGTGGGCTTCTTGTTGACGAGGGCGAAGGGGAGGAGTCGGGCATGAAGGAGATGTCCTAGTTCAAATGCATCCTCATATGTGAAGGACTGAAAGGTGATGGAATCACACTCTTGTTGAATCACCTCGACCTGCAAGCTTATTAGAGTTTGCTACAGCCTCATTGTCGTTGTGCTGGCTTATGTTGCTCTAGGGTAGAACTCACGTCGCGAGGCGGCGAAGGGATCGGAGTCGGAGCGGCGGCAGGGTCGCGGACGGCAGCGAGTGACTTCTCCAAGCCGAAGCCTGCGGGGTGTCGGCGGGTCCAGACTTTTTGAGACATGTTTGGTTGGGGCGCTGAAGCTTGCGGAAGCGGTCTTAACCTTTCGAGATATGTGTTGAAGAGTGAAGAGTTGTTTCGCGGTGCTTTTGGCGATGAAGCTGCTGACGGAATGCTTTCTGATGAGTCGTCGTCGTCTCTGTCCTGCAACTGAAGAAGCAATCAAGTTATTAGATAGCAATTCTTCCCCTTCCGTGTTCTCGGCGAGCGAAAGCGGCGCTATTGTGCTCTTAATAATTCCCTAACGAGAATGCATCCCCCCCCCAATCCCATCCCACACCGGCTGGGTCCCAACCGTCATGCAGCCCACTTGGTGCTTCTCAACTGTTACAGTTACCCTATTGGGAATGGAGAGTTCAAGAACTTACGGAGCCGGGCCTCTCTCCATGTTGCATGATAGGCTGCAAGAGGGGTTTTGTGACGGGTGCTGTCGCGCTCGATGCTGGGGTTTGCGCTGCGCTGCTGTCCCGCGCCGTGCTCTCTGCCGCTGCCGGCGGTGCGCTTGCTCGCGCGCTGAAGCTTGACTGACCTACGGCGGCTGCTGCTGCTGCTGCTTCGGCTGTGCCATTTCGCCCATTCTTCTTGTTGGGCGTCTTGGAATATCGATATAGGCCCCATTCTCGGAGTCGGCGCTGGAATGTCTTGCCGTTGACTTCGTATCCCTTTGCGGCGAGGCCCTTTAACATGCTCTCGACCGTCTCGCGCCGGTTGAACGCCGCAATGATTTCATCCTTGAAGGGCTCCAGGTCGAGACGGGGCCGTCCGGGAGGCATTGTCATTGTCCGAGCGCTTTCGCACCGAGTACATGTATACTTTCCACGGCACGGCCCTTTCAATCATGGGTACATATGTGATTGGAGGCGCGATTCAATAGGTGTAAGGTAGCTGATGAGATGTCCGCGAAGAGATGGCGGGTATTGATCCTAGGCACACGGGCGCCGCTTTCGCCGGATTGACGATTTGTCTTTCTGGTCAACATTGTGGCTGACAGCCACAGTGGCTGATATGCCGCCCTCAAATCCTGTCTCTCCCGACTAGCAACTCTGTCAAAGTTCAGAATCGTGATTAGCAAATCAGAGTTGATTGAGGGAATTGCGTCTCGCTCGCATAATACAAATTCTCAAGATATCCACTATCAAATACTTAGGTATGATTTTGGGGCGACCAACCTACTTACTCACTCAGCTCTAAGACGATTGTAAGGCTTTGACCCCTTGATCATTTTCGTGGTTGAAGTTGCCGAGGATATTGAGTTCAACGAACCATATAGCCGTCTTGAAACTCCGCAAGTTGAAGAATGCAACATCTCGGGTTCGCTTTCATTGTAAAGCCTAGAGCCAATGTGATGGACTGCCGTGCTTCGTATTCGTAACCAAAGTCCGCCGCCTTCGCGGACTGTAATGAACCCGTGCGGATGAGACAATTACTCTTCACTTGAGATGGCATCCCTGAAGCTGCATCAACTCAATTTCTGTAGATATAAAGCACATGTAGCCTCTTACTGACTGTATCACCCGAAAGCATTGAATCAAGCCTAATTGTACCGGCAACAGCGCGAGCGGATTTTTATTTCCGCAATCTCCTCTCTTCCACCTGCCTACTTCAGGTAGTGTCGTTTTTTGATAACTCAAACAAGTTGAAGCTACAAATATAGTACTTCCTGTCGACATGACCTCCCTCCCCCGCGCAGTCCAGACCATTATAGACAAGGATGAGATCCGAACCGTCATCTATCGGTTCGCTCGTGGAGCAGATCGCCTGATTCGCAACGTCGTCCAGTCCGTCTACCACGAAGATGCCACAGATAACCACGGGACCTACAACGGCCCAGCCAAAGACTTCTTCGACTCAATGGGCTCTAATTCAATCAAGACTGCCCATCACCAGATCGGTCAATCTCTCATTGAGATTGAGGAAGATGGTCGCAAGGCGCATGCAGAGACGTACTGCACCGCTACAACGATCGTCGGAGTTGGACAGGAGGAGAAGTGGACTACGTTCTTGGTGCGTTATGTTGACAACTTGGAAAAGAGAGAAGGTGAATGGAGGATAACTCACCGTTTCTGTGCGTTTGACGGCGCTTCTGAGGGTGCTATTATGAGATATCTGCCGAAGGAGAACCTAGGTACCCGTGACGAGAGTGACTACTCTCGATGTGTCTTCAAGGATTAGAAATCTTTGGCTCTTCCACTTTTCCCGGAGTTCATGTAAAATAATGAAATGGAGGGACTGATCCTCGAAATATTCGATGCTTACCAAGCACTCCGTGCCTCAAGGCTCAAGTCATGGCATCAAGTCTGGAAAAGTAAAGATCGTTGACAGACTCACAAAATATGAGAATGAACATAACCCGACTGAATGTATACTTCATTAGCCTAAAGCAACGTTCCTGTGCGTGGGAAGCTTGAGAGGCTGCGTAAGGATGTCAAGTCGAAACATTTTGAGATACAGATTTCTACTCACAACCCTAGGACAAAGACGGAGGAGATTCAGATCACGTAACCCAGCTTTTGTTTGCCCAAATATACGACAGCCCACAGACGTTTGTCAAAAGCTGAGTGGCCGATCCCTTGCAACACCAACCTCGCCAATTGGATGTCTTATTGGTGCCCCGGTCCAGACGAAGTGCGGTAGGTGGCTTTACGACCTCAAAGGAAATCGAGGCAAGGATCAAAAATCGGAAGATCTGCCAGCCTGAGCTATAAGTTGGAAGCTGCCCCGACTAAAGTACCTCTCAAGACATTCCCCATTCCCAAGCGCAGGGCTACTCACGATGTTGGTTCGTAAGGTCCCGGTCCTGGCACCAGTCAACAACCCCGAATTTGGTGCTAGTGACAGCAGCCCGTCAACTCACGCCCCCCTCCTCGATTATTTCCCGCCCACCCGCGAAGCACGAATCCGCTGTCACCAAAGTGCGACTTCCTCTCCGAGTCCAGCTGTGGTGCGAATAAAGACAGTCATCGAGCTTGGTACGAAGGCATTCGTCATCCGGGGCCAGCCTAATGTAAGTCTGGACGATACCTACAACAATCATAGCACTTAGCTTGTAACTGAAAGCCTTTCTGACGAAATTGGTACCAGTACAAGACGCAGCCCACCGACTCACCTAATATCAGCACCTTGTCATGTTTCGTTATCAGTGGTACATCCAATTTGAGAGATGATCTTGAAGAGCCCATGTCTCGTGGGTGCTGAACGACGAGGAATTCTGTGAAGTCTTTCTGAAGCACATCTGCATTTTCTCAAACCAGTTAGAGATTGGAGAATCTGTCTTGCAGCTCCTCGCATCGTAGGATTGCCAATATCTCTTCCACATAATCGGCAGCGAACGTATCCCTCCAGGACCCTATTTTTTCTCCAATAGTGGAATCTTCGGCCCTTGTCGCCTCTTCTCCGACGATACCGAATCTTTTGTTTTGAGCACGATACCAAGTCAAGAAGATCCTCAAACGTAAGTAGGCTGGCCGGGTATCACTTTACGCAGCCCCCCATTCCCCTATCTCTTTTTGTCACCGCGGGATTAACATGATCAAAGGTATCAAACGTTGAACGCCGCTGCATTTGGGGCATCGTCGCTCTGTGTTGCAGTTCCTTCGAGATTCAACTCTTCTAAAGCTGATCATACGCCGTTTGCTGGACTGAGAGTTGCAGTCAAAGACTTGTTTCACCTCAAAGGAGTTCATACGAGATGTGGAAATCGGGGTTACCGTAGGCTGCATGGACCTTCAAGTGCCTTTCCCGATGATGTACAGCGTGTCATCGACCTTGGAGGGGTCATTGTTGGCAAGACCAAGACTGTTGAGTTTGGAGGGAGCCAAGAGGTTATTGGCGACTGGTGCGACTACTTTGATCCCATGAATTTCCGTGGTGATGGATATCTCGCTGGACTGGGAGCAGCACCGGATCAGCTTCAAGCCTAGCAGCATACCCGTGGCTTGATACCACTTTGGGTACAGATGGTAACCTAGAACATTCTGCATTGTGGAGTACTCTGCTGGAGGCCAAGTAAGTTGATGAACAAGCTGGTGGGAGCATTCGAGACCCTGCGATCGCTCACGGCGTGTTCGCTTTCCGCCCTTCACATGACGGGAGGCCAACCCCAGACGTGGTTCTTCCTGGCGGGTAAGCCTTTATGTTCATGTCCAAAAGACACGAGATTGATGAGACGGCTAGGATATTCCACACTCCCGGTTTCCTAGGAAGCGATATCCGCAAAATGCATGAGTTCGGTCGTCATTGGCTCCAAAACTCTTCCAAAGCTGAGGTGAGCACTACGAACGCCATTGATGTCGCCTGGACTGACGACGCTGCAGACTCTGAGGCCGAAACGTGTGTTGTTCCCACAGGAGTACTGATCCGACCATTCCGGTGTCCAACAGATTGATGAGGACTGGGTGTTGTCCCTCACTGAATGGCTTGGAGCAGACAAAGTCGACATCTCCATGGAAGAGACTTGGAAAGCTACGAAGCCCCCTAGCGCTGAAAAGGGCTTCTTCGGCACATTCAATGAGGCGAGTTGAGAGAATCCTAGTGCACTCTTGATGCTCTTGGAGTAGTTCATCGGCTGAGTTAACTGTCCAGACCTTTATGACCTTGATGTACCGCGAGTTCTGGACCTACCTTGCAGATTTCAGGTCGGAATACCAGGAAAAATTCAAGGCGGATCCTTACGTGTGCAAAGTCATACAGTACCTATGGTAAGATCAAGTTTCACAATCTCGTGCCATACGCGCTGACGGTCCTGTCTCAGGGATAAAGGCAAGTTGATAAGCCAAGATCGTTGGCAGGAGGCTGTGGATGAAGTATTGCTCCACAACACTTGGTTTCTTGAACATTTGCTCAACGACGAGAAGACCATTATGATTGTCCCTCGATACAAATTGGACTACCGGGATGAATACTTGTCGTAAGAGATGTGAATGACTACCAGTGTAGTAACCTTGGCTAACTAGAACTTTAGCGTGCCCGAGAATCGAGGCTTTGAGGGCTTCGACTCCAATCTTCACACTTCGTTAACAGGTGTGACAAACCTGATTGTGCCCGGTAAGAGTCGACCGTAAAATGACCAATGATAATTCGAAGCATTCTAATAGAGCAACACAGTCAGTCAATATGAATCTCAGTCTCAAGTTTCCGGGCGAAAAGAATACCTTCCCGTTTCTCTCTCCGTCATGGGACTCAAAGGTTAGTAAAACCCTTCCTTATCCCATCACAACGCAGCGAAAGAAGTTCTCACGGAGACATTGAAGGGATTAATGTTGAGCTGTTGAGCCTCGTCCATGACTATCTAGCCGAGACCGGACTCCCCAGTTCTGTAATGACCGGCAGGACCGCGTTTTAATGTTCTCCGACATAGGCAGCGGAAGATTGATCTTGGTACGGACTTTTCCCTGACAACATAACTCATCTCAAGTAACGATTTACCGACAACGGCTGGTCCACCTATCATGGCGCAAAGAAGTAATTGAGTTGATGTAGTTAGGGCAGGAATCATTCTGACCCAAAGTCTGAACCGGATTTGCAAGCATATCATGCAGATACAGTTCTATTCAGACAAAGCATTTGGCCCACCGGGTGGGTTTTCGAGTCGGCAGAACACGGAAAACGAGACGCGAGGGCACTGCTGCTACTGTCTTCTAGACTTTCAATATAGAACTTAGTCATAATGGGCTATTGACTTCGATATGAAACTATGGGTGAGTAAGCGAAGGCGAAGTTGCAAAAGCAAGCTTTCCGTCCGATACTCAAAATGGACCATCCTAGTTGAGATCGGAGACAAAACCGGACGAAGAGATAAACTTTGAGTGGTCTGTGTTGTGTCCAACTCACTAGTCAACTCTTGCAATTCCTCAGATGACAACTAAACGAAAACGCGAACCTGTGCCTTGACGAGAGCACAACTTCAGCCTCACTCTGAGCTAGAGACCACACCTCAACCGCAAGTCGTTTATGACAATGGCCGGTTGGCCCAATGGCAAGGCGTCTGACTACGATTCAATATGTTATCAGGAGATTCTGGGTTCGACCCCCAGGCTGGTCAACCTCATTTTTTGAGCGTGGTGGAAAATGGCCCCAAAATACGGCCGAGATGCCGCTTAGGGCATGACTTTTGAAGATTCCAGGGAATACCCCACAAAACCGTTGGCAATAGGGTGGGCCGAAGCACGGTTCGTTGGTTGTTCTCTGGGCGAAAAGCTTGCGTTCACCGCATCGTCACCGGCTAACCGGTGGAAGTTGCCGCTTGCGTGGACTAGGTGGTATCACCGTGGTAGCGATGATCCGACGCGTGAGCAGCTTGACGCGGTTCAGGGCCAGTCATACGCGTTCGAGGACCTAGATGGTATTAGTACCTAGATGATAGTGATACTGAACCATTGAGTTTACGTCAATTGTCAATAGGCAATCGAGCGCGAGAACGAGCGGATGCCATCACGTTTAAGATCTGGGGAATGGCGGCTTAGAGTCAGGGGATGCTCGTATCTCGTCGGCACCACCGCTCCGTCGGCGACCCGTGGGCGCCGGCAACGCCGTGGGACCCCGGTCGGCACTCTCGGCTTGTGGGAGAGCTCTTGGCTTAGAGGCTCAGTTGTTCAGGGCTCGTCGTTCGCCTGGACATTCTCCTGTTAGTTCTCTAGGGCGGGCTTGACGTCCCGGGATGACGCCAAGGGGCCTCTCGCGGCTTCGGCAAGTCTAATCACTCCAGGCCTGATACATCATATAAGGCAGGGCAAAGCCAACAATTTGGATAACTGCAAGCCGCTCACAATCGCATTGTGAAGTAGGCACAACGGCGCACTACAGGCGCACTGCAATCTACGCAAGACGATCAGCAACCAACGCATAAAGTAAAATCAAACTCTAATAACCGGCAAGTGGAACCACTCACAGCTCTGCCCCTGGCCAGCAACCAATCTCCCCTTGGTGCCTGACTCGTACCTCAACTAGGGTGAAGGTTTCAACCGGGACTCGGGTCTCATGCTGCCCCACACAATATCGAGTTCCCCTGGCTAAAAGACCGCGGACGAGTGATCACGACAGACGTCAACAGTGCTGCGGACGAGCCAGGTTGGTCCCTCTGACCACTGGGTCAAAAGTGCCCCTAATCCCGCAGTGGCCGAGCCTCCGGGTCCTGTCTCCTTTGGGCCCCGAGGAGGAGAACTGGAGTTCAAGGATCTTTATCAATACCAAGGTCCAAGTGAACCGTGCCATCTCCAGCGACGCGCTGTCGTTCGAACTTGTCCCCTTTCAAGTAGTGTTGTCCCCCATCCCCTCCTCCACAGTTACCTAAAAATCTTCCTCATCCCAAAATCGACCGCTTTTGAACCCCGATATCCCGCCCGGTGAACGCATTGAACGTGTTGGACATATCGAAAGGAAAACCAATGTTGAGAACGGATTCGGCTAAGGCGCTGCCCTGCTAGAGAAAACAAACAAGAAAAACAAACACGATTTCCGACGCGATCGTACGTCGACCGATCACGGGGCGAAGATGTCTCCGAGACATCGAAATCGAATCGTCCCGACTTCTTCGACGATACTCATATCATATCTCGCGTCGATAGCTCATGCCACATTCACCAATGATTTCTCAGCGTACCCAGCAGCAGCGAGATCATGTCTTGACTCAGCCGCTGCAGCGTCCGGGTGTACCGGTGACACGGTGACGGAGATGAACACATGTCTGTGCGGGAATGGCGGAAACTTTGTGCTGGCGACGTCAAAATGCGTGAAAAAAGAGGCAAAAGACAAGCTTGACGATGTTTACGAGATGCTTCTGACCTCCTGCACGGATTCAAAAACGCCATTGGGCATTTCGCAGGCACAATTCCTAGACCCCGAAGACGACGACGAAACCAAGTCAACAGCCTCTTCTTCATCTGCTTCTCAGAGCAGCACAACACTATATACCTCCACGACCGCACCGCCGACCGAAATACCGGCATCTTCAACAACATCGACAACGACATCTCTCACGACGTACAAGAGCGTTGCGCCAGGAGGAGTCACAGTCACGGTGACGAGGGGAGTTGAGACAGTATCGACTGGGGCGGCGAGTGGAAAGCAAGGAAGCAACGCCGAGGGGGACCAAGCTATTACCGGCGATGAGGGACCTAGCCACACTGCTCTTGCGGCAGGACTTGCAGGAGGACTAGCAATCCTATTGGGCGTGTTGGCATTCTTCTGCTACAGGCGGCGGAAGCAACGCAAGGAGAGAAAGGGGCAGGTCGGAACCGGTGGAAAATTCGCAGCCTTATCTAGTGCGACAAGTCTCACCACGATGTCGGCCTCACCACCGCAAGGGCAGGCAACGACGGCATATCACGGCGTGAACGACAGACGACCTGATACGGCAAACACGATGAACATGGCAGTGGGCACTCCAGGATGGAACCGTCAGCAACAAGGGCCACAAAGTCCCCAGCATTGGCAGAACAACAACTCTCCTGGGCACTACGGACAACAAGCAGGAACCTGGCCGTCACCAGTCGCCAACGGAGATGGGGCGACGGGAACGTGGGGAGTTTCGCCCGTCTCTCAGTACCGTCCGAACTCATCCAGGGGTCCCGAACCGTCACCACATGCTGGAACCTGGAACGCGCATGCCGCTGAGATGGCAGCCGCTCCGGTTCCCGCACCTCACCCTTCACATCCCTCAAATAATACGTACTCTCCCGTCTTTGAATTGCCGGGAGATCAAATACAAGCCGTAGAGGCAGACTCGACACCAGTCGGCCAGGCTCAGCCGGTGGTGCAACCGCCTTCGCGTTCAATACAATCGACGCCGGCTCAAATGCAAGCACAACCAGCGCAACCAGCACCAGCTCATCACGGAATGCCGAGGCAGATCGACGACGCACTTCAAATATCGCGAGTAGAATTACCGCCGCCTCGGTACTCAGGCCCATCATCACCGGATTGGGTCAGCGAGGATAAGAAGTTTGGCTAGATCAAACTTGGAGGGGCCTTTTGGCCCAGATAGCTCTTCAGCATAATGATATTTTATAAATCTTGTAATACTACCCACATGTAGACTTCAGGGCACCACTGCCGCCATGACGCATGAGCCTCCAAATTTCACATAAGATCAGCAATCAGCCTATAAGATGATGTGATGTCATGACCATGCCTTCATGGCGCGACAAGGGTTCAAGAAGTACCACAGTCTGGAGTGAAGAAGACGCATAAGATAACTGACCCAAGTCATCGACTCCGTTACAGCCAAAGTGTAAAAAGAAAGACTGAGCAAAAGCAACTGTCCCTGGCAAGACTCGAATTTGCGACCTTTGGATGTTCCAAGCTTCAAGCCTAGTCATATCAATTAGGTAATGATATGAGATCAACGCTCTTCCGACTGAGCCACAGTGACGATAATTGGTGAATCCATTGATCGTACGATCTCATGACAGATTTGCTAACCGGAAATCTGTCGCGGTCCGCGGGCTCATCAGTTGGGTTGAGATCCTGTTAGTTGGTCGAAGTTGAGCAACAAACTTTGGGTTTCTAGCTGGGTCTCACGCAAAAGCCTAGTCTTAAGCTAGTAGGACCAAGGTAGCCAGCCCTACGGATACAAAAGTCGTTAGCTTTGTCACTCACGTCACACGTGTTTTCCACATTCGGTGCTCCTCCGTCCAACTGTTTTCCAGGCTTTATCCAATAGAATCCCTGAATCACTGAAGCCACGTTTGGTTGAAAGGCAGAACGAGTTGACTGCTTCCTGTAACGAATTCGATCGAAGAGGCCTCTTGTCAACCTTACCAAGCCACAGCATGCGGGTGTCGTGTTCCGAACGCGCGTCTCAACACCGCTAGCCCGTTCTCTGGCCCTGATTGGGTCGGCCGAATCCTGCGGCTGAGCTACCAAACTTGCCAGAGTGCGGCGCAGGATTCCTGCCTAGCAAGATGGCTGAGCATCCAACCAAGACTTGGCATCTGACTGTTCGTAGCATCATCCCACCATTTGACTGATTATCGGCGGGGTCAGGCAACCCCCTGCCTCTAGATTTAACCATAAATCACCCCCCAACGACCATGACCAGCGCCAAGAGCAATAGCAGATTGTAGGCGTGATTAAAACTCCATCGAAACTCCGTCTTCAGTTGAAGATAATACATCGAGCTTGATAATGGCGGGATTCTCCTCCGCTGCGGTGACCACGAGTTGTGATGACATCACTCACCGAATTGTTTCCACGTCCGCTGAGCTCGACAGTCTGTTGAAGGCCATCGATCCTGGGAGCACAGCAGCGCAACACTTGATTTCGGTTTCGGCAAAACTCGATCAGTTTAGAGACACGACTGAGCAGCTCAGAAGGTCGCTCAATGACTCCTCAGCCATATCGCCCGGTCTGCGAAATGCTCTGGCTATCGCTATTCAGCCTTGCGCAGATGCCGCGGCAGTCTTAGACAAGCAGATACATAGACTCGACCCAGCAAACGTGACGAGCCTCAACTCCGATGTGATTCTGCAGTACGAGACCTATCATTTGACGAATACTCGCTTGTTCGCACAATTTGTCTCCGTAGCGCACATGTAAGTTTTTAGGATATCTACGCTCCTTATGGCTAGGTACGTGGTACTGATTCATTCACCTAGGTCAACTGTCGCTCAGCAGGATGCAAGACTCTCGTCTTCTGACGGGCATGGAATGTTAGAATCGGCCGTAGAGGCGTCTCAAATTGTTCTGACCCGTAGTGACATTCTGGGACCCTCAGACGAAGCTGGCCAATCTGCCATAGATATTGCAGCCTTCGCCGAAGAATTTGGGGACGTTCAAGCCGATGAGCCACCCCCAGACTACACGTCTGGTAAAGCCAACAAGGGGAAAAGCAAGGCATCCGGCCAATTCTTCTCCTCAATCTCAAGCTCTTTCAAAGCGATGACCGCTGGCCTACGCGCCAAACCAGAACCCATGGTCATCGCCATGTGCCAGGCCGCCAAAAGCGGCGACGTGGGACACCTCAAAGGCTTCGTCTCGGAAGGAGTCAATGTTAACGGCCAAAACGAAGAAGGATACACGCCGCTCATTTGTGCCATCAGAGCCAATCAGAGACCAGCTGTCGAATTTCTCGTCAAAAATGGAGCTGATCGATCAACCAAAGACTCTTGCAGTGGCAAGAAGAAGCCCCCATTATTCCATGCTGCCGAATGCGGTTTTGTGCCAATCGCAGAATATCTCATCAATCATGGTTTCGAGATGAAAGAGCGTTCGTGGTCTGGGCAGCCGTACTTCATCGAAGTGGCAAACAGCGACCAGCTGGATATCATCAGACTCTTCTTGCGACGAGGCTGCGACGCCAACACAGCTGCTATTAGTGGCCGGACCATCTTTATTCACGCCATACTCAGCGGTAGCCTTCCACACATAAAGCTCCTGAAAGAATATGGTGCCGACGTCAATGCTAGAGATATCAGCGGGCAGCCTGCACTACATATGGCGTTAGGCCAGAACCGGATGGACATTGTCACGTTCTTACTAGAGCATGGCGCGGACCCAAACACCATGGACCTCACAGGCAGTACGATGATTATTTCCGCCCTTCACAAAAAGAAGTATGATCTTGTCAAGACTTTGCTGTCCCGAGGCGCCGATCCGAATGCCACAGGGTTGATGGGCAAAGGTATACTATGGACCTTGCTGCAAAACAAAGATATGGAGGAAGGAATCAAGATTGAGCTCATCAAATCGCTTCTGGCACGAGGGGCCAACCCAAATCAAGTCGATAATTGGGGAGAATCCATTATGAGCATGGTTATCACTCTCGGCAACACCGATCTTCTGCGCATGTTCCTTGCTCACGGCGGCAATCCAAACAAGAAAGTCAAGGATACAACATTTCTACTCTACGCCATTGATCAGAATAGACAAGAGGACGTAAAAGTTCTTCTCCTACACGGAGCGAACCCGAACGAAGCAGATACCAGGGGCAGAACCCCCTTGCTCGAAGCGCTTCAGTCAGAAAACCACGCAATTCTACAAGCAGTCCTTGCCCACGGCGCAGATGTCAACAAGATGGGTCAGATCAAGCCGTTGGCGTTGGCAAGATTACTTCAGAACCCGGAGACCATCAAGTCGTTGACGGACCGCGGTGCTCAAGCCCCAGAGCGGCCGGCGGCGGCGAGAGCACCGCCGACGCCTGTCAGCCCGAGGCGGCCAGTATTGTCGTCTACCACCCAGGTTCGACCAGTTGGAAGTGAAACGGATATGCCACCGCCCTACGTTGAGACCGGTGGTTTGGAGGAAGCTGGGGCGTCAAGCCCACCAAGCAGCGCCAGGAGACTTGTACAAACCGGCTTGCAAAAATCAACGTAAATGCCAGGAATTATGTCTCAAGTCAATAGAGAGTAGGAGTTTCGGGAGGCGCTCGGGGCCTGAATGACATTATTGGACGGGAAAGGTGATGCGTATGGATGATCATACTTCTTAAGCACAATGTAATAATGACAGATGCTGAGTATCGCATGTATCAAATGCTGCTACGAAGTAATCAATCTTGGTCTCGAACCAGTATTTCTGAATCAGAACGCACGACTGAAATATGGTTGAGGATTTTGTTCTGAACTCTGCTTGACCAACTCAATACTCATTGCCAAATCAGATGGCGATTCGGTTCAGAGCCCAACTATCTTGAGTGCACGGTGACCAACCTCAACCTTTGATAGCAGTCTTGATAATCTGCTCTAGCCCCTCTCTGCCTATCGGTTCAATGCCGAGCAGCTTGTCGTCAGTCACAGGGAAATAACCAGCCTCTGTGCCAATGAAAGCACGGTTAATGAACATTTCAACCACTTCTTCACTGTGGTCCCCTTTGCTCCATCTCTCGTGAGCGATCTTCTCCAAGTCCTCAGTTCTCGAATGCTTGACTTCCCATTCCCCTGTTGGATCAATGCTTTTGGAAATCTCAACGATCTCATTTTGTGTCGTCTCAACACTGCTAATCTTTACCGGACGGTTTGCTGTCTCCTCGAGATGAGTGAGGATGCCAATGACGGCTTGTCCGATATGCGGCATGGTCGTTGCACAGAATTTGACATTGCCGCCATCTTTGATGTGAGCTTTCTTGCCCTTGACATCCACAAGAAAGTCAAGTGCGTACCCAGGCGCCAAGAAGGAGACATTCATGATGATGGTGTACGAGAATGATGGCCTTGCAGCTGCCTTTTCATCGAGGTACTTGCGAATTGCAATCTTGGGCTGGTAGATGGGTATGACGGCTAGCTTGGGATTCATGGTGTCATTACCGTACTCGGATGGAATCATTCTTCGTATGCCGGCGTTGAAAGCTGCATCGACAACGTTCCTCTGAATATGGATTGCGTCGAATGCCAAGGCTGAAACAAGAGCGTCTTGTCCTCTGAGGGCAGCTTCGAGACTAGGGACTGACTCGTAGTCGACTTTCTTCACTGTAACGCCAGCAGGGAATTCGTGGCGAGACCCCTCACGAGTGAGAACAGTGAGCTCAAATAATTTCGACCTCTGTAGGACATCAAGAAGAACACGTCCTAAGAAACCGTTCGCCTGCAACCCTCGTCAGTTTGTGACACCTAGATCATTGATTCGCTCGAGGGGGGATAATTGGCTTACACCTGCAAGAGCAACATGCTTGATTGGAGTTGACATAGTGACAGATCGTCTGTGCGAGGAACACCCAAAGCTGTGGTGAAAGAGACTTTGATCCTTGAAATGTTGCGTTCAGCTAGTCGTGGGATAAACCCGTAAAGACCGGAGGCTTATAAGACTATGAAGATTAGGGGAATAGTTGAAAGAAGCATGACTGCCATATTTAACAACAAACGGCTATGACGGCTTCGCTTTCTCGACTTTATTTTCGATTGACACACATGTTCAAACCCGACGTCTCGGCCTGCATCACGCCGGGATCATCACACAACCCGTGTAAGTCCACACTTTAGAGTTCACCGGGACCGCCTGTTGGACGGATGGGTCACC